CCCAGAATGAGTGTAGGATCTACTATAGTCCCGGGCAGCCATGCGAACACACTAGTGCTCCCTGACAGGAGACAGGCATCTGGAGAGGTAAGATATGCATTGTTCTATTCATATCATTAGCACAACAGTATTTAGTTGTAGTCAATACATATGTTTTTCTTTTACCGTTCCCTTTCCGCTGCTGTGAAATTGGCTGTCCATGGTGCTGACATTTTTTTTTTTTGTGTGGGTGATTTTCTTGAATTAATGTTTCGCAAACAAATGCAAATAATCACTCGGCTTGTTCTGAATAAACACTGTATTCCACATTCAGTTAGTATCCTTACGTTCAGCCACATGCTTTGTATTAAGTGAGGCCAGATTTACAATGCGTGTCTCCTGTTCTAACAAAGCATTTGATTGCAGGTGTTATTGTTTGTCTTCATCGATTATCCATTAACCACACACCTGAGTCGCACGCTGATTATGGGTGTCTGAGAAACATACCATGTTACGTTGTATGAGGAATGCCTGATCCTATGAGGGACGCATGGGAAGGGGGGTTGTAATCAACTCATCGTCTGTTCTAACTGTACTAATTGCAGCATGGGCAATCAGGCATATTGCAGTTTATTTTAATAGCGAAGAAGTTAGTAAAGCGAAACATTTGGGATTTCGTATGGTATTGTTGCCCACTGGTCACATGGTGTCAGTGTGGCCTAAATGGTGGTTGTGTTGCTCATTCTGTAGAGGCCCTGCCCATCTCTGGATCATCTCTTATCGAGGAGGTACGCAGACGGAGTACACATCATAGGCTATGTATCAAGTAATATGAACAGCAGTTAATAATATGTATGTGTGAAAGCTTACATTTGAGAATCGTGAAATGGATCTTATCAGACTGGTTCGATGAGCAATTGGTTCACTCTATTTTGCTAAAAGAAAGCCTTCATTTTTTTTGCTTCACAATGGAAGAACGAAGACAAAGGCGCCGAGTGAGCTGCTGGTGGGTTGTCGGGATTTTGTTGCTGTGCTGTGGAGAACGGATTTTGGCTCAGTTTAGATACTCTGTTCCAGAGGAAGTACAAGTCGGATCCCCAGTCGGAAATGTTGCCAAGGATTTAGGGCTTGACATCAACACTTTGACGGACCGGCGGTTTCGTATTGTTTCGGGGCCCAACCATGCTCTGTTTCAATTAAACCAAAACAATGGAGTGTTGTATATTGGACATATTGTGGACCGCGAAGAGCTCTGTGATGGAATCAAGGTTTGTTTGATAAACCTAAAAATTGTTGTAGAAAGCCCACTGGAAGTACATTACGTTGGCGTTGAAATAATAGATATTAATGACCATTCACCGATTTTTCCAGAAAGTGAGCAGAAACTGGAAATAGCAGAGCATACTCCTCCGGGTACTCGTTTCCAAATCCATGCTGCTAGAGACCCTGATATCGGTCCACAGTCAGTTCGATTATATAAGTTGAGCACAAATGATTTTTTCGATATTGAAATAAGAGACAGCGAGGAGGACAAGATACCATTTTTAGTCCTGAAAAAGCCCCTAGATAGGGAGCAAAAGTCAGAACACCATTTAGAGTTAACGGCTCTTGATGGGGGCAGTCCGTCGAAATCTGGGAGCCTTAATTTGACTATCACTGTGCTGGATGCAAATGATAACCGCCCTGTGTTCAGCAAAGACATATACACTGTGTCATTAGATGAGAATGCCCCGATAGGAACTCTGGTAATACAATTAAACGCTACAGATTTAGACGAAGGGTCGAACAGCGAAATTGAATACACGTTTGGAAAAACACAGAAGAAAAAAGTCCATGATACATTTGAATTAGACAGCGTCACTGGTGAGATTCGAGTGAAAGGAAAAGTGGACTTTGAGGACACGGAGATTTATAGACTGGATCTGCAGGCATCAGATAAAGGCCATCTTCCTTGGACGGCCGAAAGTAGAGTAGTGATAAAAATAAAAGATGTGAATGATAACCAGCCAGACATTGAGGTAACATCATTGTCCAACTTAGTCCTAGAAGATTCAAAGCCTGGCACAGTAATATCACTTATTAGTGTTACGGACAAAGACTCGGGCTTAAATGGTAAAGTTATTTGTAAAATCTTGGATAATGTTCCGTTTGATTTGACGCCATCCATTGAGGAAAACATGTACTCTCTTGTCACAAAGGGGCGTTTAGACAGAGAAATTGTGTCCAGTTATGATATCACAATAACAGCTACGGACTGTGGTGAACCTCCTCTTTCCACAAGAAAATCCTTGAGTATTCAGGTGTCAGATGTAAATGACAACAGGCCACTTTTCAGTCACAATCCATTTGAACTTTATTTGGTGGAAAACAATACCCCGGGCGCATCAATATTTTCTGTAAGCGCTGCTGACAGTGATCTGAATGAAAATGCTGCAATAGCATACCACATTGTGAGAGGTAATGGGCTGCATCGTGATATGACATCGTTCCTGAATGTAAATTCGGAAAACGGACATATATCCGCACTAAAAAGTTTTGACTTTGAAACGCTGAAAACGTTCCATTTCCAAGTTGTTGCCACAGATTCCGGAACTCCGTCACTAAGCAGCAACGTCACAGTGAACGTGTTCATTCT